TAAGCCCTAAACCCTAAACCGCCTGCTGCTTCAGTGGCAGCATGTAGTTGTGGCCGAAGGCTGGTCCTCCGTGTGCCATCAGAAGAGGCAGGCCGCCAGCTGCCTTTACGCGCTTTTCGATTCATGGTTTAGGGCTTTAGGGGCTCAGGGTTTAGGTTTTAGGGCTTAGGGGCTTAGGTCTTAGGGTCTTCGGGGCTTAGGGTTTAGGGCTTAGGGGTTTAGGGGCTTAGGGTGTAGGGCTTAGGGGTTTAGGGGCTTAGGGTGTAGGGCAAGTTCAGGATTTAGTGCTTAAGGTTTGGGTAGAGGTAAGGATTTTTTTTGATAGCGTTCGGTGTGTTTTAGGCTAGTGGGGCTTTACATGCCGAGTTTGGTGTTCTCCGGCTGCAGAAATGAGGACATAAGGGTTTGCAGTCAGGGAATACGAGCAACAACAGCAATCATGCTGGCAAGGGAATATAAACAAACATATCAGCACCACCACCGCCGCCGCCACCATCATCAACACCAGCAGCAATCGCCAAAACCGCCAGTACGAAGGGACTCTCATAGAGACCCTAGGTAGCTACATCATCACTATGCGCAACAGACATCAACAAACCACCCTTTGGGCTTCCTGCATTCCACTTCGACACTTCAGAGGGTCCGAATAACTCCAAAAGCAAAGGTAGACTGGCTTGGGTGCCACAGCATGAAAAATGGAGAAATCTCCAAGTCGTTCCTAGCGCAGGTCTGGGCACAGTAAACCCTAAACCCTAAACCTTAAACCCTAAAGCCCTAAACCTTAAACCCTAAACCTTAAAACCCTAAACCCAAAACTCTGAAACCCTAAACCCTAAACCTTAAACCCTAAACCCCAAACCTTAAAGCCTAAACCTCATGCCCGGCATGTTGCAAGGCTAAGGTTTGGGCTGTGTCCCCGCGACGCGTATAACGCCAGTAGGCCAGGGTCAGTCCTCGGACCTCTGGGAAAGAAATTGGGTTTAGGGTTCAGGATTTAGGGTTCAGGGTTCAGGATTTAAGGTTTAGGGTGCAGGATTAAGGCTTATGAAGGCGCAGGGTTTAGGTTTTAGGGTCTTTAGGGTTCAGGGTTTAGGGGTCAGGGTTTGGGGTCCAGGATTTAGGGTTCAGGATTTAGGGTTCAGGGTTCAGGGTATTAGACGCCTTGGGTTAGGGGTGTATTGTTAAGGGCTGAGGGTTCCTCGCTAAAGGATATGAGACCTCTCTTTTGTGTTGTGTAAGGCCTTGATCAAGACTTGATAGAAGTCAGTAGCTCTCGATTCCCTTCTGAAGACCCATCTTGTTATAGTTTAAAGCGGGTTGCTCGATAGGGATTTTGGGATTTTTGTGGGGCTTGGGGGCTCCAGATCGCTGTCAGGGTTGCAGGGCTCTGCGGACTCAGAAAACTCTACAAGTTCTAGGCTCCGGATTAGAAGCAGTCAGTCGCAACAGAGGACGTGGAGCTCCTTCTAGGATCTCTTCGGCTTTGCGAGTTTGGAAATAGGGGCAGGGAGTCGGGATTTGATGCTATGGAGTGCTATGGAGATGGGCCATATCTTCGTTAAGTGCACTGATGTTGCAGGATCCTGCAGTTGAGATCGAAAAGCCAAGACCCAGGAGCCACCTGAGTTTCTGTGTGAACCTTGAACTAAGCTGTAGGGGTCCCTACAGTGAACCCCAGAAAATTGGAACATGGGTTTAGGACGATCAGTGCTGGGATTCCCGTCATTTTACCTTGAGGGCATGAGGATAGTGATGTTCCAACTTTCTGGCTTTTACTCTATTGCACCCTAAACCCTAAACCCCATATAAACCCTAGCCCAAAACCCAAATACCCCCTATGAAAGGGGTTTATGTGAACCTATAATCAGAACTATCCGAAAATACGACAAAAAAGGTTCTGGGTCGTGTAGCGGAATTCTCAAACCCCACCCTGACCAAACCCAGAGGCCGCCGTCCGAAATCGAAACCCGATCCTGATGCTTGGTAGCACAATTGAGCCATTGAGCTTTGTCGTCCACTGCTACTGCTTCGGCCTAGCAGTGTGCAGCGCCCTTTTTCAGGGTTTAGGGGTTAGGTCTTAGGGGTTTAGGGTTTAGGGTTTAGGGTTTAGGGGTGAGCTTGCCACACAAGTACCAAACCGGCTTGCTCGCAACAAGCGTCTTCTCTGTCTTGTAAGTTTTGAACAGCCAGGCACGACGCAAAGCCTTGGACTCCAGCAACAGCTTGGCATCCCACAAGTTTGCCGCGTTGCCAGCCTTTGCATTTTTGATCTGCACCTGGTCTCACCTGGTGCGACTTCCAAATCATGTTGCTGCCTGTCTTCAGAGACACGTTGTACCTTGGAACAAAAGCCAGGGCAGCAGGGCAGCCCAACCAAAGAATCTACTGCCGCCGCGGCTTGATCTCGTCACCGCTGCCTAAACTCATGCGAAGGCCTTAATAATCAGAATAGGGTTTTGGGGGTTCCTTAGCCTTATCATAATTATAGAATAATAGACCCCCAAAACCCCATTCTAATTATCAAGGCCCTATATTGATCCCGAAAACATATGCGCCTTAAGCCGCATTGGCTCTGGAATCAAACCCTAAACCCTAACCCACCCCGCCCTCCCCTCCCGCAAACTCAGAAGACGAAGCCATAAACCCGAGAGCCATAAACCCCCAAACCTCACAACTCTAAACCGTAAACCCTAGGCCTTGAAACCGCAACACACCTGCCTGGATGGTACCAGGGACGACTTCCAGGTCACACAGGTCGGGGAAGGCGTGCCGTAACAGCGCTTCGCAGCTCAGTTCGGCACGCCGCGGATCGATCTGCACCTAGCCGCAGCTCATTGAGGATTCAGGGTCTTGGTGGGTTCAAGGTTTAGGGGTTTAGGCGTTGTCTAGGGTATGGGGACCCCAGACCCCAAACCCTACGTTGAGAGTTTGGAGGTGAGGGTCCAGAGTTTAATTGGGGAGGACCTAAATCATGATTAAGGTTCTTTTGTACAGGGTATGAGGACACATGCAGGATGTTAGGGTTAGTGTAAATAGCGGGAGGAGTGCTCAACTCAGAAAGTTAGGGTTACAGAGTTGGAGAGTCAGAAATAAAGGGGAGGGGAGAGAGAGAGAGAGAGAGTGTGTGTCAGTCAGTCAGTGAGTGAGCGAGTGCGCAAGCGCGAGAGAGAGAGAGAGAGAGAGAGAGAGAGCGAGAGAGATAGAGAGATAAAGTGTCAGAAAGAGATAGCTCGAGGGAAGGAGGGAGGGAGGAGTGACGGAGAGTGAGGGATGGAGGCAGCCCCTTACGATGGTATGCAGCCGTATTACCACAACCCACGGAGTTCATACACAAGAACTAGGCTGGGTCATGTTCAAAGTCCGCTTAAAGGAAGGCAGGTTGATACTACTCTCTATCCGGACCCCAAAAGCAGAATTTGATCTTAGTGGCTACTGGAGGACAAGTCGTGTGAGCAACCACATATGCACCCAACCACCCAAGCTGCCAACACTCTCGACAACAACGATACGGCTTAGGCAAGGTTCTCCGGTTTCCCAGCGACAATGAGTTAAGAGTACAAGTTTGGCGAAAAAGAATGAGAACCAACGACGGAAAAAGGGCATAAGGGTACCATTGGCGGCTCTAGTAAGGCTTTTGCAGTTTTAGGAGCTTAGGCATTGGTGTAAGAAACAAAACACCTCTCATGATACCTCACTTCGAAGCCAAAGGCTGCGCGAAACCGGTTCCCTCTTGACATCTTGGCCGCCTGGTTATCGTAAACTCCTGCGAAACCCTAAACCCTGAACCGCAGTTTCCGGAGCCCCCAAAACCCGAAACCCTATACCCTAAACCCCAAACCTTAAACCCTAAACCCTAAAACCCTAAAACCCCAAACCTTAAACCCTAAAACCCTAAACCCTCAAAGCCTAAACCGCAAGGCACCTCGCTGCTCTCTGCAGCTGCAAGGAAGGCTACGAGAAGAGCAAAGCCGGGCATGGCTCAGACGGCCCTGTCTCCTACCAGCAGTACTTTAGTAATACTTTTCGCATCTGGTGCATCTTGCATCATAGAGATCAAGTCAACCCTCATAGAGAAGTTCGCATCACTACAAAACTCTTCGGCGCCAGCGTTGGGCACCAAAGGGTTGGTGAGTACAGCGAAGCTGGCGACCAGAGCCAAAGCAAGACGACAATGAAGCGCTGCCGTCGGTTGCCTTGCAGTGCCTTTCCTGCCCTAAGCTCCAGCTGAAACATGTGAAAAGTATTAGTATTAGTAGCATTAATTGTAGTATTAGTATTCGTATTATGAATATTAGTAATAATACTAATCGCTTTGGTATTGGGGGTTTAGGGTTTTAGGGTTTTAAGGATTGAGGATACTAGCAACCAATCGCTTTGGTATAGGGGCTTAGGGATTTAGGATACTGGCAACCAATCGCTTTAGTATAGCTGTAGGCGAAGTGCCGCCGCTGTCGCATGCTCGCTACAACGATGCCTTGGAGACTGGCCGAGGTGATATACCTACTGTACTTACATGCGCCGACCACGACGACGACTAATACTGCTACTCCAGTACCAATGATTCTGCGGCTGCGACAACGACCGCGGCGACGAGGAGTGCTTACTACTCTGAACAACCAACCGCAGAGTGGGAGAACGACGACGACCGTTGACTGCCGCTGCCTCCACCAGTCAATTGACCCTCGTCGCCGCCACCGCCACCAGTGGTACCGTAGTTGCTCGTCTTCGTTATTCAGGCTTTCCCTGTTCAACCATTGCGCTTGTTGGAGGGCCTAGTATCCAATCAAGAGACAGAAACAAACGAACTGGACTAGGTCCCACAGCAACCGGGTGATAATAAGAGTACACTCTTTCCGACTGTTCAGTCTTGATGAGGAGACGGTCCCAAACGACAACATATGACTCATATAATGGCTCCACTGTGTAATTTATCGACCTTGCCTGCACCTGCGTTGACAAAACGACCAACCAAAGAAAAACTCCTCATCACCCTCGGTGCCCATGCCTGGCTGTTAAAGGCTTTGCCAAAAACCCCAAACCCTAAACCCCGAAGCTCCTGAAGCCCTGAACCAACAAGAAACTCCCTCAACTACCCTAAACCCTAAACTCCCTTGTCTCCCTCGTAAGAAGTTGTCGCGGCGCTGCGAGAAGAGGCTTAGACTACACCGCAATTCTCTGTCGCAAATCCCGTAAGCCTTATTAAGCCGAGCCCGGATGACCGACGTACGGGCATCTAAACAGAGTCTATAACGATTATCTTCTATAGGTAATTTTTAGGCTCATGTTTGCCTTTGACTGCCCACTTATCTATCAATCCTACTCCAGCTCTTAGTCTATTTTCTATACTTGATCCTCCTGGGACTGAATACCTTGCTCTGGTAGAAGGTTTTTCAGATACTCTCCACATATGAGCAACAAAAGATTCTGTTGATTGGATGATTCTCCTCCACATAGCCATGTATACTATTTGGGCACATGGACCCTTAGGGTGAACCTAAACCTCTAAACTCTAAACCCCTAAACTCCAAACCCTAAAACCCAAAACCCTAAAACCCAAAAAAACCAGGGACCAGAAACAAACCCAACGTCCAAGCACTCCCGTCTCCGCTTTTTCTCAGCTCCCACTTCCAAGACCCTGGTCTGTGCCCATGCCTCAGCCAGCCGTCAGTTTTAGAGTTTAGGGTTTAGGAGGCTTAGGGTTTAGGCTTTAGGAGGCTTAGGGTTTAGGGTTTAGGAGGCTTAGGGTTTAGGCTTTAGGAGGCTTAGCGTTTAGGGTTTAGGAGGCTTAGGGTTTAGGGTTTAGGAGGCTTAGGGTTTAGGGCTTAGGGCAAGAAGATGCTAGAATCCTTAGAACGTGCTTCTTCGAAGGTCTGAGAAGGGCCTGACAGGGTGTTTCGGAGGGTCCAAAATTCTAAGCTTTGAACCCATGGGCCCCTAGTATGGGCCCTCAACCCTGGGACCCTTATATACCTACTATATACCCTGTCTGAACCCTGAAGGGACCCTAGAAAGGCCTACAGGTCCCCTAAACCCTAAACCCTAAACCCGAACCCCTAAACCCTAAACCGAAACCCCAAACCCTAAACCCTAAGGGGCCATATTAGGGGCCCATACTTCTAACCTTGGAGAAATGGTTGTTCGGGCTTCGGGTTTCGGGTTCAAAGACTTGCAGGAATAGGGTTTAGGGTTTTGGGTTTCGGGCTTCGGGTTCAAAGACTTGCAAGAATAGGGCTTATAGCTTATAGTGCGTGCTTTTGGTGTTGCCTATAAATAAGGATTCTTGTTCCGGCTTACGGTGTTGGCGGCGCAGGGTCTAGGAATAGCTTTTCAGGTTTGTGATTCTGCAGTAATCTGTGGTACATAAGGATACTGAGAATCGTATTACTACATATTCCGCCCGCTGTGTTGTGGTTGCTCTGCTTGGATGGCGGTTGTGGGGCATGCTCTAGTAGAAGTACCTAGAGGCCTCAAAAAAGACAACTAGCAAATTACGCACTCCTCTATAGTGCAACTCACAAAGAGGATTCTACATGGGTTCCAAAGAGGTTCTCGCAGTAGTAGTAGTAGTAGCAGTAGCAGGAGTAGGAGTAGGAGTAGGAGTAGGAGTAGGAGTAGGAGTAGTAGTAGTAGTAGTAGTAGTAGTAGTAGTAGTAGTAGTAAGTAGTAAGTAGGAAGTAGTAGGTAGTAAGTAGTAAGTAGTAAGTAGTAAGTCGTAAGTAGCAAGTAGCAAGTCGTAAGTAGCAAGCAGTAAGTAGTAAGTAGTAAGTAGCAAGTAGTTTGTTAGTAGTCGGTAGTCAGTAGTAAGTAGTAGTTTTTATTAGTGGTATTGATTCGGACTTAAGGTTTGTGCCTTAGTTTTCAAGGCTTAAGGTTTGTGCCTGAGTTTTCAAGGTTTAAGGGCTTCTAGGGTTTAGGGTTTAGGGTTCAGGAGGCTTGGACAAGGAACGCTTGCGCGAGAATTCGAGATAGCAGACCTCTTCAGTTCAGAATCAGTCTGCATCGGTTGAGCACGACCCGTACCTCATACAAAAACCGACAATTAGCCACTCGAAACTCCAGACCCGAAAATCCTAAAGAGTTAATTTGTAAATCCTGAAGCAGGAAGAACGAACAACAGGTACAAACTCCGAGATGCGTCGTATGGAGACGGCCTTTCGTTTCCTTTCGTCCTCCTGCTCGATGGACTCTGCGAGGGACCCCGAAACGGTGGCCACAGGCTTCCTTGAGCTTCGAAGCTGTTGGGGATGTTGCTGATTCAGTTTGGGACTTAATTAAACCCTGAAGCCTAAACGCCTCAAACTAAACCCTGTATCATGAACCCAAAACCCTGAAGCCGAAACAATAGACGCTGAATCTGGACCCCCAAGACTTTTTTCCCTAAGGGTCCATGCGCCAGAATAGCATATACTGTGGCCCCAAAGCGCCTATTTTGGGGACTACTGTAAGGCCAAAAGTGTATACTATTTGGACAAAATCTCCTCAGCATAACTTCCTTTGGCTTCAGGCCCCTAAGGTAAACCCAGCCCTCCCGGTTTAGGGCTAAGGGTTACGAGCTGAGGCCTCTTTGTGGGAGTTTCCGAAAAATAGGGGTCCCTGATTTTGGGGTCCTTATTATAAGGATCCTACTATTTAGGGTACTATATTAGGGTCCCCTATTTTTGGAGACCCCCATATAAGAATTCATTACTCCAACTCCTGAGAGAGGGTCATGCCCCCTCGCACGTTCTCCTCCTTCAGACGCTCCCGCATGCGCTGGTAGAAGTACATGCTCTCGGGGTTCAGTCCGATACCTCGTTTAGGGTTTAGGGTTTAGGGTTTAGGGCACAATAGGGTTGAGGGGATTTGGTTGTCCAGCTTTTGGGGTATGCGGTTTTTGGTTGGGTTTAGGTTATAAGGGGAGATTGTTTCTTGAGAAGAACCCTCACGGGCATCAGAATTGGATCCAGGATCGGATCCTTGTTTCGAAACCTATGTCCCTCTTTGTGTTATCCTGCTTGCCCTCAAATGGATAGTTGTCAAAATTATGGTCCCTTTTGGGGTACCCTAAATATTAGGTGCCGTATCATAATAAGGACCCAAAAAGGGACCATAATTTTGACAACCACCCAAATCCGAAAACCCTGAAAACACCGGCAGAAACCACACCACCAAGGCTCAAGATGCCGGCCGTGCCTACCCTACATGGGTAGTTGTCAAAATTATGGTCCCTTTGGGGTATCCTAAATAATAGGTGCCGTATTATAATAAGGACCCAAAAAGGGACCATAATTTTGACAACCACCCACATGGGCGTTGAGTACCCGGGACTTGCTTCGCCCCCATGAGAGGTTTAGGGTCTAGGGGTGTTCTGTAGCTGGACCTTAAAGAACCTACCGTTTTAGGACTCGGGCTCCTCCTTATGACCTCTTCATGTAGGTCCGTAAGCTAGGGGTAGTTTTTTCGGATCATGCCTCCAACTCAACACAGCCACGCTATGGAGGTTTAGAGGGATTAGGGTTTGGGAGGGTTGAGAAGGGTCTGTACCGGTCTCACCAAAGGCTTTTGGGCGACTTCTGCGAGCGAGAACCGTAGTTACTATAAGAAGTCTTTGGGTTGAGGGATGGAGACACCACCGCCAATGTTTCCGAAGAAAATACCGAAAAGAAATATTATATACCTTTGTCCTGCAAGTATCGACAGCGAAGATGTCAAGCGGCTATCGCTCTTGCACTCGGTTGGAAGGCCTGTATCCCCATACCCTACACGATGTGTCAGGTTTTTTTGGGATTGTGACCCCTGAGGTACAGTAGGGTAACACCGCTGCAAATGGGTAAGTAGCGTCAGCTATTGATAAAGCACCGTGTGTCGCATTCTGCTGGTGTTCATCGGCAAGATGCTGAGCTCGTTGGTACAGACCTGTATGATAAAGCTCTTGTCCTGGGCTGTTCTGGCAGGTCCACGAACCGAAACCTAGTGCTACGTTCCTGTTAAGCATTATGCCAGGTTAACATTCCTAAACCCTACCAGCAAACCTTAGAAGTTAAACTAACGATTCAAGGCGTGCTCGGAACCAACACTATGCGCACACAGAACTTGAAAGAAATGCGAAACGCTATACACAAGCTCCGACGAAGGAACCACAAAAGCCCAAGCCCTGAACCTAAAGCCTCAAGCCTTCTCAGGCAAACACTTTTAAACTACCTAGCACAACCCCCTAGGGCTTTACCCAATCCCAAAACCCTCAACCCTTAACCTAAGACCTTTCACTGATCTCCTAAACCCCAACCCCTCAACAAACCCGAAGCCCTAAACCCTTGAAGCCCTAACCCTGAAGCCCCGAACCCCTAAGCCCTGCAACCTTGAAGCCCCAAACCTTGAACCCATCCCAAAACCCCTAAAGGCCCAGCGCCGTGGTAGATCCCTGAAGGAACCCTTGTAGTATCCGCTATATAAACCCCAACACTCTAAACCCCAAAACCCTAAACCCCCAAAGGCCCAGTGTCGTGGTAGATGGGCCTGCCGAAGGTGGAGTTTCGAGTCATCTTCGTTGGCTTCCGGTGCACCACGGCCTCAGAGCGAGGAGTTCGGGTTTAGGGTGTAGGGATTACGGCTTAGGGATTGGAATAGAAATTCGGTTTAGGGCTGGGTGTTTGCAGTGGTATAGCTTTTGAGTTGAGCTATCAAAGCCGATCTGTGGAAGGTTTTTCCTTCCACCCTCAACTCCAAACCCTAAAGGGTTTTCGTTTTATGGCCCCAAGCAGATTGACCATCGGCCTCAACGATCTCAGTCTTGGTCACGGTCTCCTTTTTCGACTTTGGCATAGCAGTCTCATACAACCTCGGTCTCTGCAAGAAGGAAAGGAAACGGTTTCATTCTAGGGACTTCCTTCTAAACTATCAGACACCCAATCCATCAGCAACACAACCCTAAACCCTAAACCCTAAACCCTAAACCCGAAACCCTAAACAACAAAAACAGGGATCCCCGAGATTGACCGAGGTGGCAGGCCCGTAAGAGCGCAGGAGGCAGAAGTGCACAGGAATGGCAGAAAGATATTCAGGTGGTACAGCCAACCACCGAAGGGCGGCGCCAAAGCACCAGCGGCCCCATTCAGAGAACTCTGTATACCAAACATAGTACCCATCAGATCTTCCGGGCAATACTCCTTGGAGTGGGCTCCGCACTTGAGGGTTTAGTGTTGAGGGTTTAGGGGTTTAGGGTTTAGGGTTTTAGGGTTTTGGGTTTTAGGGTTTAGTGTTGAGGGTTTGGGATTAGGGTTTAGGGTATTGAGCCCTAAAGCCCTGACGTTTGTTCAACAAATTAGCGATACAGGCGGCCAAGGATTGGATTGCACAACATCCGGGTGAACCCAAAAAGCGCTAAACCCTGTAAACCCTAAACCCTATAAGCCCGTTAGACCCTAAACTTTCTGAGCCCCATAAATCCTCGAAGCTGCCGCTACAACAAAAGGTGAGGTCCCATCCAGGTAGGATCAGGGTTCACAGGTTTAGGGTTTAGGGTTTACCTTAACCCCAAAGAACATACCTGTTTCAGGACTTCTATAAATAAACTGCAAACCCTAAGAAGGTAGGTTGTTTGGTGTCCAGGTAGGGTTTAGGATGAATCTTCTGCCTATATCTCATGCCCTCAGCATTTGAGAGAATCAGAAACTGAGGAACCCAAAGACACCATGCGACAAGGGGTCCCCTAAACCCTAAACCCTAAACCCTAAACCACCCTAAACCCTAAACCCTAAACCGACTCTAAGGCACTCATACATAGCCCGTGGAGTCAATGAAAGAGGGACCAAAAGACGAGTTTTGGGACTTACTATACAGCTATTCCACTACTTTTCCCTACGCCCAAGTACCTAATCTTAAGCCCCCTTCTTTCTACGGACCGGGACTTGTGCTTGCCTTTTACCCTAAACCCTAAACCGTAGCTGGACTCATTGGGTGCATGCAGCCGTCTCCAGTAAATCAGTTCCAAGGGTCCCTCACCAAGTGCATGAAGCCCATGCCTGCGCTTTGAAGTAACCAGGGAAAAAAGCATAGACTTTTAATTTCATAGTGGCTCCTTTAAGGAACGGGTCCCACAAAAAATCATAGACTTTTATTTCATAATGGCTCCTTTAAGGAACAGGTCCCCCAAAAAAGCATAGACTTATATTTCATAATGGCTCCTTTAAGGAGCAGGTCCCCCCAAAAAAGTGTTAAAGCATGGTACTCCAAAGCCCAGATGCCAATCATGGTCCCGAAGAGGCCCACCATGGTAATGCCGAAAGCATACCTTCTCACGACAGAGGGTTTAGGGTTTAGGGTTTAAGGTTTAGGGTTTAGGGAAGGCAACCAGAAATGTCCCCATTGTCGGTGGCGCAGGATACAGAATCCTATATGCCAAAACAGGCTGAAGCCTAACCTCTCCAGACCCTAGAAGCTGGACACACACCCTTCAACCCAAAACCCTAAACCCCCCAAACCCTAACCATGTACCCTAAACCCTAAACAGTATAGCCTAACCCTAACCCCCAAAACCCTAAACCATGTACCCTAAACCCTAAACATGATAGCCTAAACCCTAAACCATGTACCCTAAACCTTCAACCCCAGAACCCAAAACCCCAAACACCCACTGTCAAAGACCATAAGAGCTGTGCCGAAGGATGCTAGGGGGGGATCCGGCTCGGGAGGACCCGAAGCTCCGAAGCCCACATCCCAAACCCTAGAGATCTCTAAAAAGTCCTCCAAAGGGTTTAGGGTTTAGGGTTTCATCCAAAACCCTACTTTAAAGGAAACTACAGGTGGGGAGTTTAGGGTATATAGGGCTTAGGGTTTAGGGCTTAAGGGGTTTGGAGTTTAAGGTTTAGGGTTTAGGGTTCAGGAAACTACAGGTGGGGAGTTTAGGGTATATAGGGCTTCTATAAGGCTTCTATAAGGTACATAGACCTTCTATTAAGGCTCCTATGACGGTAACTACCCACCTGAAAATGCCCCAAATCCTAGAGATCCCTAAAGCGTCCTTTGAAGGGTTTAGGGTTTAGGGTACCGAAAAAGGGCTTAGGGTTTGGGGTTTAGGGTCCTTTTAAAAGGGTTTAAGGCTTAGGGTTTAGGGTTGAGGGTTCCTTGAAGGTTAGGGCTTCGGGTTTAGGGTTTGTCTACTCTAAAGACTCCCTTTAGGGGTTCCTTTAGGGGTTCCCTTTAGCGGTTCCTGTCAGGGTTCCCTTAAAGGGTTACTTAACTGGCCTTTGAAATAACCAAGGGGAAGAACGTAAAACCTGTCATTTCACACGGGTTCTTTTGAGGAACAGGTACAGAACAAGTATCGAAGTCTGGCATCCCAGAACATAGGCACCAACAAAACAACAAACCAACACCCTAAACGCTGAACCCTACCGTGGATCCTTCCATGTGTCTGGCTTCGGGTCAAGGGGATGCCTGGCAGTTGGGGGGTTTGGGGTTTAGGGTTTAGGGTTTAGGGAGTATTCACCATTCAAGCCCGCCCTGGTTTTGCAGCCTCATGGACTCCGTGTTGGAGTTCAGGGCATCGGCTTGGAATACCCAGTGGACACTCACTAAAGACTAAGTACGAGCGTACTGCATAAACAACGTTTTCTTGTCCGGAATTGCTGCAACGCAGGGCAGGGCTTGGATGTAAAGAAACTTCTTCCAAGTAGAGTTCGTGTATGAAGAAGCAGTACAAAGTTCGTGTGTATACATGGAGATAATCAGTATATGCAGACCCGATAAAACCTGACCATAGAGCATCCGTATAGAGAATGCGTGTATACAATTCCCATAATTTAGGGGCCTAAAGAAGTACCTATATTATTCTGAGGGGTCCTTGTTATACATATAGTATACCGGGGCCCAAAACCCTATTCTAATCAGGGGTTTAGGGTTTAGGGGTTTAGGGCTGAGGGGTTTAGGGTCGTGGGGTTTAGGGTTTAGGGGTTTAGGGGTTTAGGGTTCAGGGTGTTAGGAACCCGAAACAACTAGTGTAGGGGAGCTCTTTAGGGTTTAGCGTTTAGGAACCCGAAACAACTAATGTAGGGGCCTTAGTAATTAGAAGAGGGTTTTGGGGTATGCTATACTATAGTCATAAGAAGGACCCCCCAAAATAGTATTGGCAATTATTTAGGTCGCTATATTGTAAACCCTTCAACCCCCCTCAATCCTTACAACCTCAACCCCTCAAAGCCCTAAACTCCTGAGCCCTTAAACCCCAAGCCAAAGGTACGGCACCCAGAGGGCAGTCGGGCCGAACACAAGCAGCAGCGAAGCAACAGAACCTCCAACGGTTCCTCTGATGATGGCGGCTTAGAGCTGCGATAGGTTTGATGATATAAATCCTGCATTACCCATTTTCAGGACTATACCGTAATTTCGATAGTTTAGGGCCCTTCAGGTAATGCAAGGTTTATATTTATATCATCAAAAGTAGGGGCTACATTTTTAGAGGCAGGTGGGCTACTGTAAGGGCAACTACACGGGGGGTTTAGGGTTTCGGGGGTTGGGTGTAGGGTCGATTCTCAGGGCCACTGGTGGGGTTAGGGTGTAGAGTTACGTGCAAGGGCTACTAGAATATTGGCTAGTCTGATAATTTGAAAGATTTGGGTTCAGAGTAAGTAGCCCTTGTACATTAGACTTGACACAAAGTCCTACATGAGGTTGTCTAGGCCCTGACAGTAACCCTTATGGCAACCCGTGTAGCAACAATGCCTGGAATTGCGGGGTGTGTGGCTTCGGGTCGATGCATGAGCAGGTTCTATGGGAAATGTAGAAGCCGTAATAATTAGAGTAGGGTCTTGGGGTATATTATACTATAACGATAATAAGGAACCCCCAAAATAGTGTTGGTACTTATCTAGGCTCCTATAGTAATCCACTTGAGTTCCCGTGTGGTACGACCGGCTTTTTGATACAAGTTTTTGCAACACAAAGAGAACGATGAGTCTGCAGGGTTTACAGACAACAAAGTAAGTTGGGTTCCAGAAACAAGCCCTCAACCCTAAAACCAAAGCCAGGCCACCGGCAATGCAAAGCGGCAGCGCGCCGAAATTCGTCAAGAGGGCAGGGACCCATGCAGAACACACCTGGTCTCATGAAGGGCACAGCGATCGTCGGAATTACTGTAGGGGCCTTTAGGGGTTCAGGGTTTAGGAGTATAGGGCTAAGGGTTTAGGGCTTCAGGGGTTTAGGGGCTTAGGGCTTAGGTTTAGGGGCTTAGGGCTTAGGAGTATAGGGTTAAGGGTTTAAGGCCTTAATACTTAGAGTAGGGTTTTGAGGGGTAATGAATATAGTTATGGTAGAATATACCCCAAGCCCTATTCTAATTATGAAGGGCCCTGTACAAGCCTTGCGCCGGCGTGATGAGCACGTTACTCACCATTAGTCTATAAACCATTAGGTGCCTTGTGCCCTTTAGACTACAAGGTTGGTAGGGTTTAGGGTTTAGGGTTTAGGGTTTCAGCTTTTGTCGCGTTCGGGGCTTCTGGTTGAGGATCTAAGTTTAGGGTTTAGGGTTCTTGAATGAAGCCCGGAAAATGAGTGTATGGAACAAGGATGACTAGTGCTCGGTTTACCAGGACCGCAACTATCTCTTTAGCAGTCCTGGTGCTTGATAGCCGGCAGTTGGGTTAGGGATTCTAGGGGGGTTTCAAGATGGCTGTTGTTCGAGTTTTGGGGGAAGTCTAGATGTGCATCAGGGAGGCTTGTCGTGGGTATCGGTGAGCAAGCTCAACCCTAAACCCTAAACCCTAAACCTTAAACCGTGCCAGCTTCGAAGAGTTCTGCAAACGTCTGAAACGAAACCAAAAACTGCAGCTCCCAACCTTGAGCAGCAACGCAAAAACCCAGACCCCACAGCCTAAACTCTTGAATCAACACCCAGAAAACCAATATCTCCTCTTGTAGTCACTACAGGTTATATACGTATAAACACTAACGGACCTTAGAACATTGTTGGAGTATGGCCGCCAGATTAAATCAGACAAGGTACCAAAGTTGACATATTGGTCAACAGGTAGAAGACGCAAGCATGCTCCTTGCCGAAACCGAAGCGGTCCTGTCTTCGAGCTGTTTTGCGCTTCGTTCATTTCGCAGAGTTTCGCAAGTGGGCTTATGGCTTATGGGGGCTTTGACAACGAACTGTTCCATGATGTCTCAGGAAGGGTGTAAAGTTTCAGATGTTTTAGATTGCAGGTGTTTACCAAACCGTAAACGGCCCTAACATCTAAATGAGATTTGGTGAGGTCGGGGTTCTGCGTTTGGGGGCTCGACTCTTTGGAGCTTTCTGGATTGGGTTTTGGGGCTTCGGCGTTCGGGATGTATAGGAGCAATCCCCGTGTTATAAGGACTTCAACCAAAAAAGACTTCTCCTCAAGCTGCATCTCACCCAAACCCTAAACCCCAAAACCCAAAACCCTAAACCCTAAACCCCAAAACCCTAAACCCTAAACCCCAAAACCCAAAACCCTTAACCCTAAACCCTAAACCAAGGAGTAGCATCTTCCCCCCCTGTTGGACACTGCCCCAAAACCGTGCCACAGCCTCCGCCCTGTCAAGAAGCTGCCCAAGTCCTTGAAGAAAGCCATCACCTAAACTCCTATATAAACCCCATAAACTCTTAAACCCCCAAACTCCTTAGGGTTTAGGGTTTAGGGTTTTAGGGTTTAGGGTTTCATCCCCTAAACCCCTGAACCCCCTAAACCCCGAAGGGTCCTTGAAGAAAACCATCTCTGGTCCATCCCCAATGGCAAAGCCCAGTGCGTAGACAAAGGACACCAGAAGAAGGCCTCGTCTCCAACACAGAGATCCCAATACACCTTAATACCTTGAAATTATAGGGGCCTTAATAATATGATTCTAGGGGCTGCGCCCACCGGCGGGCACCGCAGGTAGCAGCCCGAGACCAACACCCTAAAGCACGCTAAGGAAGACCGGAAACCCTAAACCCTAAACCCCGAAACCCTAAACCCCTAAACCCTAAACCCTAATTTTGTTTAGGTGGTAGGCTGCTTCGGGTTTCAGTTCAAGTTGAGGGACCTGGGCCAAGAAATAGATGCCTACTTGACTAAAGCCAGGCCTACAACCGGATCTCAGAGCTCTTAAGAACACCGTGGGACCGAACTTGCAGGCCCAAACCTGTCCCAAAGTTCTAGTCCCAAGCCCCACCCTACACGGTTTAGGGTTTAAGGTCCAGGTCTGGAGTCTTCTTGCGGAAGCCAGTTGCCGCAAGCAGCTTGATTCGCAAACATCGCCTTCAGCTGCTCACCTTGCTTCTCTTCAATGAACCTACCTATAGTCTCCATTGTAGTCCGTTCTTTGGGTTAGCGAATTCTTATGATCAGGACTCCATACTATAAACTTGCTTAACCACAAACGGTACTACAATGCAGGCTATGAGAAACTGAAGTCACTATCAGACAATACTTATATACGCGGGTAGCATATGCTTACTCTACATACCTAGACCTTGCCTCCTCGGTTAAACCCTAGACTCCGATCAGCAGAGGCCAACAAAAAAATAATGCATATTTAATGCTGTCTCAGTGCAGAGGGAGCGTCCTGGTACCCATTTTCACTAACCCTAAACCCTGAATCTGAAGCGAAAACCTTAACAAGAAGCCAGGCACTTATAGACTTTTCCGCTGCATCATTGTCTTCGTCTTGCTCGACCTTTGGGGCGAGGGAGAAATTTGACCAGAGCGGTTTAGGGTTTAGGGTTTTAGGGTTTAGGGTTAGGGCTTTGTGGGATTATTGTCTACCCTAAACTCCTAACCTACCATACCCTTGAAATTCGGGGCCAAAGATTTTGGGCATCCGAGTCTCATGTATGGGCAGCTCTCTAAATGAGGGTCACATTTTAGGTTCCCGATATAGTACGTCGCACCCTTGCCCTAAACCCTAAACCCTGGACCCTAAACCCCTATATATATATATATGTATATGGTGCCCACCCCCCCCCCCCATGGATCCACCCTT